AAGATAGAAGGATTTCAGGGTTATTAACTACTATCACCACTTAAGAAATAGTTGTGTTTCGAAGAAGTCTACCTATCAAAATGTTTTTTTCTATCTCTTGTTATAAATCTCTTATTGCTCTATCATGACAGTATTTGTGTATTGTCTTCAACATTTATTTAATTTTTCTTTTCCAAAATTTCCCAAAATTCATGGCATTTTCATCGTCTTTTGTGAAGGTTAGTTCCAATTACGTAAGCGTTTCTGGTTATTTAGCTCAAACAAAGATTAAAATGCCATTACACAAATATCTCTCAATCGTTGAGCTGTGCTGGATGACTGTTCGCAAATCACTTGCTTACAGCTATTTTCAATTATGCAATACGTTGATAAACAAATCAGGATTTGGTTGTGTAGTTCAGACCACGACCAATTTTCCCCACTCCAGCACTTTCGTACATCTTTACCCTTTTCCCCATAGAATGAATAATGTGCGACAAAAGCCAAACAAAAACGAATGCTCAATGTTATTAGTGATATCTGATGTCCCATTATATTAAAAACCTGTTGCCGACGGTATAACTTGGGGTACCATTGATCCGATAATTCACTGAATATCCTGAACTTTTCATTTTCTTTTCAAAAGAAAAAAAGAAATTTTCTTTTATATTCTGCCACTGTTGCAATATCATTGAAGATTGTAGCTCATTAAATGCCTGAATAAACTGATCATTTGAAGACCAAATGAAGTTTCTTGGTGCGATGATAAAAAATCAACAGTTTTTGCACCCTTGCTGTGATGTGCAAAATGATTTTTTTTTTTTTTGTAATACCGCACTGTTTGTAAATTTCAACACTAAAAATGCACCATGTCTTTCTCAGATCCATAATTTTTGCCTAAAATTTGATTGTTTTTTTTTTGATTTTTTTTAACAGTCTTACATTTATCACTAATCTTTTGATGTGTTTACGGAACATTAACATTATTTCAAGGAACCCAAGCAACCTATAGTGCTCCTTCAACTGCAGTACAAACTTACCAACAGCCATCAAGCTACGCCTATTCACAGCCTGCTCCACAAACCTACAGCTATTCACAACCTGCAGCACAAACTTATACCTATTCGCAGCCGGCTGCCCAACAAACCTACTATTCGCAACCTGCAGCTCAGACTTATTCACAACCTGCTCAAACATACAGCTATTCACAGCCTGCAGCTCAGACTCAGTATTACAGCGCTCCAGCTGCAACTCAGCAATACTACGCTCCAGCAACTTCCTCAGGTCACTTTTACACTGTTGTTTGAAAACCGAAATACGCATATGACTCCATCTGCGAAATTTGCCGCAGACAGCACTAATGAATTTTGCTGCGCTTCTTTTGACAGTTACCATGATGTTTGTATGGCCATATTAAAGCAAATTGATTTTGATACCTGCCGTACCTTGATTAGGTTCGTAAACAATTTCTAGGAACCAGTTATACATCGGGAACCAGCGCTGTTGGCTACAGCTCAGGCACCGGTTCTCAGTCTTGCTGTGGTAAGAAATTTTGCGCTATAGCTTCAGCTTAGACTTCTATTTGAAGACATCTGTTTCCAACCATAGAACGACCGGAATCATAAATTAAGTTTTTCCAATAAAATTTCAGACTAATTTTCACATTTTTTTTTCTCTTTTCAGGCTCCGGTTCGCTAGCAATGGTTATCTGTTGCTGCTGCTAAAACACAGTGGTGATTTCAAGATTTGCTTAGGAAAAAGCAAAAATCAAGCCGATCATTTTCACAGTTTTACCAAATAATCAAATAGCTCATTACTACCCTTAGATTTGTTTCACTTCCTTGTTTAGCACTTCTTTTTTTTTTCATTCTTATCTTAAACACCAATTTCTGTATGCAAACCAAAGCTCCAAACGATGTTTGTAAAGCTAATGATTTTCCTCCAACGCATTTGGACTTCAACCGACAAGACAGATGTTGAAAAATACTCGTTTATACAGGGGGCTTTATCCAGTTTGGATACGAAACAACCGGAAGAAATCAGACCGAAGTCATAAAGCTTACTGCTGCCAAATGTTTCACTATAGCCTAGTGACACAGTAAACTTACCATTAGTGATTGATTTTCAGCTGAATTTTTTTTTGCTCCACAAATACTCACCAGATATCACAGTTTCCTTTGGTAATTATTTTTTGTCTTTCGATCAGAGTACTGTCAGCACAAGCATCCTAACAAAGCACTGCTATTGTTTGCCAATGAATAAATTTTTTCTTCTTTAGCGATTCATCTTTGAACACATGGCAAAAAATTATATCAGCAGCAATACATATTGAATTCAATTGGTTGAAGATTGCAAGACATTGAAGGATACAATAGATTCAGGATACAAACAAACGAACCAATTAATCATGTGACAAATAAATAGCAAATTCACCTCTATAGTTTTTTCATTATTTTATGAAACAGTTAAGTGTCAATATAAGATACTTTGAAGAACAAACATTAAATTTTTGCAGCCAAAAAAGGAAATTTTTACTGCATATATGAAGAAAAATAACTTCAATTTATAGAAGTTTCACAAACAATAATATCCGTAAAAGTAGGTAAATTTTTTTGTTGTTGCTTTTTTCGTTTTATTACTTCAGTTGAAAGTGTCTGCAATTTTTTAGCATTTTGCTGTTCACTGATATACAATCTGACAGCCCAACGACAAACAGTTCAGAGCAATAAGTTTAAACGTCGTTTGACATCTTTCAAAAGCATAGTTGTTTAAAAATTGTATAAATATGAGAAGAAATGACTGTTTATTTATTTTATTCTTTTTTTTTGTTTAAAAAAAAATCAAAAAATAGGCTACAATTTATTGTAGACTAATGCAAAAGTACAGTTCACTACAGATTTGACGTTAGCCATCATTCTTAGCAAAGCAACAACTTGAATCGTTCTGCTGAAAACAATCTGTCAATGCAGCCAGCAATATTACATTTATCATCTCCACAGAAGTGGCTAAGTTTACAGAGGTTTCAATTAGACAGTAAGTAATACATACTGTATGATAGCCTATAAATATATGATCTTAAAAAATTGCATAGTTTTTGATCGAACAAACTAAACAAATTCATTATTTGCAAAAATTGTTTTACACTTACAGTGCACTTCTGATTTCTTATTTTTTTTTTCTTTTTTCAAACTTTAGTCTAGTCTAAACATAAAAATTATATTGATTTAAAGAAGGAATTTGACATTTTTTTTTTTGAATACTATATCGACAGAAAAAATAAAAAACTTTCTTATTAGAAGCTTATAATTGTTTATGAATGTGTATATACTTTCTTTTTTTTTTCTTTTCTTTCATCTCAATGTTTGTTTATACATTAAATTTAACTTAGTCAAATAACCGAAGTATAATAAGAAATATTATATTTATTAATCATGCAGAACCGCCAGAAAAAAAACCATACAGAACTATTTAAAAAGAAAAGGTTAATTTCTTCTGAAGTCTAGAAAGTTTAATGCTTATTGTCAAACAGTTCTTCATGAAGGAAAAGTTGTATTGCTATCACCGTCAGTCTGTTATACTGTTTCATTCTAATACTATTCTTGATAATAGTAAAATAATAAAAGCAATAAAATATTTATATCATTGAACACAGTTAAAAAATCAATGTTAAGACAAGTTTTTTTTTTGGGAGGTAGAATGCTATTGAATTGACTTAACTGATTTGATATGTTTACAATCATATATCAAATAAGCGGCAATGTTGCATTAGATGCTAATTTTTTTTGCATATAAGTAACATGATGCTATTTTAGCTATTCAAACTATTTACCTATCCGGTTACATCCAAAAAAAAAAAAAAAGAAAAATTTTAAAAATTACAAAGTTTATCGGATTGACAAAACAGAATGTACAAAGTTAGGTAAAAATTATTGATGAATGTTGTAAGCGTATTATTTGAACACTTAAGTGTTCCTTATTGTTACTGCTGCCGCATTAATTCAATGTTTTCCTTTGAATAATCCTTAGGAGCTTAAAACTAAGATTGGAACTTCTACAATACTAGTTGAAAAGAAAAAAAATTTACTCTTTTCAAGCAAAACCATTAAAGTTTAGCTAAACTTAGCGTTTTTTTCATAGCACAAATTTTTTCCTGATGAATCAGCACTGTCAGCTTGTGAAGATAATTTTACAACTAAAAAACTATGTGCCAGGTAACAAGGGAAAAAGTTTTTCTTTTTTTTTTTAGGCAAGCAAAAGATTTGTTCAAAAGACAGAACGATTTATACAACTACAAAAAGTTCTTTTTTTTTCAAGAATATATAAGATAAAACCTGAATATTTTTTTTTGTTTTTCTTTCTTTTTTCTTTTTGTTGTTCTTTGTTTACATTTATTTGATCAAAATGTAGCTCAAAGTGTAGCTTTCAAGAGAGAGAGAAAAAAAAGAACAGTTCTTTTGAAAAGTCAGGTACACTATTCGGGTACATCTGCAGTAGTGATAAACTGTTCCAAAAAATTTTATTTAAGTTTTACTAATAGCTTTGAACAGAAAAAAAAAAACAGGTAAGAAGAACACTGCAAAAAAAAGAAGAAGTAAAAACGACGGTGTTGAAGACACCACTGTAAAAGAGTAATATCAGAAAAAAGAAATATCAACAATAGAAAGCTATCAGTTGTAATACAATCAACTGCCATCTTCTGTTTATTCTTCACTTTTGCA